GATACTCGCACAAAAATATGTACATCTTGTATATACAGTGACACAAAAGAATATGATCTGCGAAACGTACATCCGCTAGCTACTACTTCCATTAGGCACTTTCGTACAGGAAGAAAGTGTTAAAAACGCATATGTACACCCTTTATTTGCTACTTTTGAAGAGATAGCCCGCGTGATATTGTAGAATAGTCCTTATTTAAACTAAGGAGTATGGACCCGCTTTTTCGAATTGAGGTGTTTGTCAGTACGTGATACAACGAGAGCGTGAAAGCCGTGTGAATAGATATATACAACAGATATCCTCGTATACATTTTTACAAAGGTAAATAGACGTATACACATATGCATGGTCGTTAATGTTGTAATAGGCATGTATTTTATATACATCATTTCATCTGAAGCTATACCCGTCTACCATCAAAACACAAAATTAATTAGCCCGCCAAAATGGCATTGTTTGTAAATTGCAATACACCGATTGAACGTTTATTGTTTGTAATTCGTTATATGTATTTCCATTGGACGGTATAATGATTTAATCAATGGGGAATGAATTATATATTGTGTATATCAATCGTCTGTAGAGCTGTCATTGTTCCGGAATAGACGTCCCGGTATTACAAAAACTCACACGCGGCAAAATGCATATGGAGGCTATCACATATAAGACCAGATTGAGTGAGGAACTCATAAACCCTTTTCACCCTATCATACAAGGTACGTGAGTGAAAGCCAAGAAAATATGTGTGCGTATGAACGAGTACAGCTGCAATCCAAGCGATGTGGGGACGTTGCATATCACAGGCAACGCAAGTAGACACATATTTTAGAGTGGGCTGCAATTAGTAGCTAGTTTTAGACGCGCGCCGTAAAAGTATGTGGTCGATGTGATGCTGTGCGAATGGTCGACCAGAAGGAGAATCATGTTTCTACGCAGTGGTCGAGGTGTAGATTATAGCAGGAGATTATGAAACCTTGCATCCAGCAGCACTTGCAGGCATCTAGTCATTCTGAACGTCGTATATCTGCTCTCAATGCGACATGCAGATGCGCCGCTCTTGCACAATCTTATACCACGAACGCTCGCAAGCATGTACTTCCGATTGTATGTTCACACTTACGCTTCGAGACATCACCATGAGAGAGTTCTACAATACACATCACAGTATTTAATAACATTTGGATACCATTCAGCAGTTCCAGTTGCGCAGACATAACACAGTAATGCACATGCCATGGAATATCACCCAAAGACTTCTCCGTCTGTGACCTATACACATTCATATCCATTTTATATTAGTCGGTATCATTCACATTACTTGTCATATATAGTTGGCAAGATAGTCTTTCACGCCTATGGAATATAATTTGATAGCACCTCCTTATTCATTGTATTATACACAATTCTTATAAATGTAGTTGTCAAGATGGGTCGCCGTCCAGCCCGTTGTTACAGATACTGCAAGAACAAGCCGTACCCTAAGAGTCGGTTTTGTCGTGGTGTCCCCGACCCCAAGATTCGTATTTACGATCTAGGAAACAAGACTGCTTCCGTCGATGCTTTCCCATCATGCGTACATATGTTCTCCTTGGAGAAGGAACAGTTGGTATGTATATTTATATATATATAATTAATAGACGAGTGTCTGTCAAGATTTGCTGTTGCTACCTTCGTATTTTTACCTGTTTCAAAGACCGTACAAGTGACGCATCTCACATGCGGATTAGTTATATCTTGTCCATAAGTTTTTTATGTATGGCCAGGAGAGCAAGAGGGCGTGTTATGATGTTTCCGCACTGGGCACTGATTGCATGATTATATGCTATTCGAGACTTAGAAAACCTCTTTACTGAACACGTCTCTTCTCGTGGCATCATATTTGTCTGTGTATTGGATTGTTTATCTTTATATTGCGCAGATATATCTATAGAGTCCAACCATTAAACTATCCGTTCATTTTCATCGTACCTCGCAGAGTTCCGAAGCTTTAGAGGCTGCCCGTATCTCATGTAACAAGTACATCTCCAAGATGTGCTCCAAGGATGGTTTCCATCTGCGTGTGCGTGTCCATCCCTACCACGTACTTCGTATCAACAAAATGTTGTCATGTGCCGGTGCTGATCGTCTTCAGACCGGTATGCGTGGTGCCTTCGGTAAGCCCCAGGGAACCGTTGCTCGCGTAAACATTGGACAGCCTCTGTTGTCTGTACGTACTAAGGATGCCAACGTCCCGCACGTTGTTGAGGCTCTTCGTCGTGCCAAGTTCAAGTTCCCCGGACGCCAGGTACGTGTAAATTAATGAAACTTCTCTATTTTAAAGGACTATAAATATATCGAACGTATGGGACGGTTTATAATATATTTTTTTGTGGTAGCATGTGAACAGATTTCGATTCGGCTGTTTGTGATTGATTTGTCGTATGTATAATCTGCGAGAGAAGCTGTGTGTGTGAACAGATTTCGATTCGGCTGTTTGTGTTTGATTGTGCGGTGTGTCGTATGTATAAACTGCGAGAGAAGCTGTGTGATGATGTCTCCGCACTGGGCACTGAAAACATGATTATATGCTTTTACGAGACTTAGAAAACCTCATGGCTGAGCATCAGCTTCTCTTTCTTTTGGGGAATATTTCAGTTGTTTTACGTGAGTAGTGGCATAGTTGAGTTAGTTTGTCGCATCGCTTCGAATGAGTCGAGTTGTGGATACAGTCTTGACAATATATCTTGCCTATTGTATTGTGTTTAGTATTTCATTCTGTTTGTTTGTTATCGTCCTGTCATTTGGATTTAGATGCATAGATTACTTACTCTCACATGCACAATTTCATACATATATCTGTATTCGTTCATTGTATCGCTCACAGGCTATTGGTGTCTCCAAGAACTGGGGATTCACATCTCTAACCCGTGCTGAGTACGTAGAGCGTCGCGCCAATGGAACCGTTGTTCCCGATGGTTGCTACGTCAAGTTCCGTAACAACCACGGAACTCTAGACCAGTGGAAGCGTGAACAAGCTTAAACGATTCAATATCGAGTCAGTATAAGTTTGCTATGAATGTATAAGCTAGACAGTTAGTTTATTAATGGCACTTGAATAGCAGTGTCGGTACATAAATGATTGTATGGTGAATAAGCCTGAAATTAGTATCCGTTATTGATCTCGAGTTGATTTTCTGTCATCTTTAATTCAGAATTTTTTTACTCGCTTATAGATGTCGGATATCGAACGGAACAGCATTGTCCTTGTGAACGTCTGTACACATGCGAAAAGTGCTTATTATTGTTCATGGAGGTGCAATGTAGTATCTGTCTGTAACAAGTACAACTATCTGGATCTTTGATGACTGCAAACACAGATACGAGTGTGTTCTCGTGTTCTACGAAGGGTATCTCTATATTGAGATGGTGTGCAAGGTAGGGTTATGCCGCGAACGTTAATGAATCGTCTTACGTTAGAGCTAATTTTTGTCGCAGCCATGTATTTTTATGCAAGTAGATGACACGTGCATATATATCGGTGTGCATAAGAATATGTGTGCGCGTCTATGTTTTCAGACATGCAATATTAATTGCGTTTTCAACGTTGAGTGAAACTGAGTATGCACGTAAATTAATTAGTGTGAACGTGAAGTGGTTGTGTCGGACTCGAGATAATGTATTGCTAGGCAGAGTTGTATGAATGCACACTTGCTTTCGGAAATGTCATCTGCATGGATGATCATCATGCTATTTCATACCTGATTCTGTGGACAGGGTATATACATAAAAAGACTTAAGGAGGCAGGCGTATTGCAGATTTAGAACGATGTGTATATAGTGTTCGTTGCCGTGGTAGCAATCTTGCATGAATACATAAACGAAAGTTTGCTTTCATCTACATATGTGAAAATACAATGCTCGTACTTATTTTATAAATATGAAGGACATATCAATGTTTCGGACCAAGTTCCGATCGACATAACTTCTACCCGTGAGAATATTAGCATCATTTTGACTATCATTGAGAGAATTTTACGAAGTCTAAAATGATTAAGTTTGGTCTGAAGTTTACGCTATTATATATATATATATGTATATATATA